ATAGACATGATCAAAATCTGATTTGATGATTTGGCAACTCATTAATGCAATTAGGATAATATAGTAATTTGACATAGGAAGAAAGAGAAAATCCTTTCCCATTTTAGCTCTCATCCCTCATCAACCACCGGCTTTCCCCAATTCGAGATGTGAGTCGGCTGCTCCTCACATAGACATGATCAAAATCTGATTTGATGATTTGGCAACTCATTAATGCAATTAGGATAATATAGTAATTTGACATAGGAAGAAAGAGAAAATCCTTTCCCATTTTAGCTCTCATCCCTCATCAACCACCGGCTTTCCCCAATTCGAGATGTGAGTCGGCTGCTCCTCACTATATGCAGGTGCTGCCTTTGCTGTGACCACGACCTCTCATCCCCTTGCCGCGTCCTAACATGCGCCACCCTTGCCTCCCTAGTCGCAGAATTTTGCGAAACTGTCCTTGAGGTGATTTAGATAACTGGAGTTATTGGTAATGGTATAACTGATCTGAGTACTGTTCATTTCACTGTATGTACTGTATACGACAACTATTAAGGATGTGAGAGTAACAAACCAGTGATCCCTTATTTGATTATCTAAATCTAAAATTTATTAATAATCTTAAAGCTTTAATACTTTTGAGTTAATTATCTTGCAAATGTTTTGAGTAATGAATTATCTTCCAAATGAAAGGTCAGATGTTTTTCTTCTTCTTATTTTACATTTCCTTTTCTAAATGAATGCTGGATCTTTCATTTTTTAAGCCCACTTTCTATTAGAAATTCGCTTTTTCGCCCAAAATAAATCTTTGATTCAGAACATTTCCTCACTTTGATCCAAAACTCATTACTTTTTACAAGGGAGGCAGAGGTGGTTCTTTCATTGAGGGGCAGTCTGGATGCACTTGCAGCGAGGGAGTAGGAAGAGCAGCACTCACCGCAACAGGATCACTGCATTCACGGTCAAGAAGGAGTCGCACTCAGCAACTACAGGAGTCGGTGACGCTCGCAATGTGAAGAGGAGTTGACTAAGAATAGAAAGAGTGATTTACCATATTACCCTAATTGCATTAATGGGTTGTCACATCATCAGATCAGATTTTGATCATCACGTCTATCCAACGGCTAGAAAGTTAGGTGAACAAGATCCTCTAGTAGCTCAAACACATGCACGCACACAGAGACCTAAGACGGACACAGCCAAGCATGCATACAAGGGCATGCATATACGTATGCATGTGTGTGTGTGTATCTTGGGAAGATACAATTAATTTATAAAATGCATGTGTATATGTATGTGGACATATAATATTAGGTGACTCCTCATTTAGTAAAATGAGTTGCCAAGAAATAACAGTGGTGGGATCCATTTGCTTTAAATGCCACTAGCAAAATGATCCTTCTTGTCTCCTCCCTCTGTGCATGTGGATGATCACACTAAGATCCCAAACAAAATAAAAAGAAAATATCTCAACCGAAAATAATTTGATTTTATAAGTGAATTTCAACATTAATAGTACAAATGACTTGCATGTGCCTCATTTTCACACTCCATTCAAATGCAAAAAGAATACTGGAAATGGATATTCATATGGTTAAATACCAAACCATGGAAAATCTTGAAACGTTTTGATTGAAAGTTCATACTATATAATAAAACATTGATACCTTTCTGGCCATGGGAACATTGAGTGATTGAGTCCACAAGGAAAAACAGGTCAATTCGACGATGAAGACTAGTCTCCAACTCCAGCTTTCGTATGAGGAGTTCTACAACCTGCATACAACAAACATTCATCAACCATTCAGGCATTTCAAAAGAAGTTAAAACTCAAGTACAAGAAAATCATAACAGAAAAGAGGTAAAATATAAGGCTTCATAATTAAACTACTTATTAGTGCAAAGTTGACCATTAGTCACCAATAATAAGGTGTTTCCAGATTTTAGTCAAAATGATTTAAAATAATTCAAAAGAAATCTATTAAATTTCTATTAAATGTAAACTAAAAGACTTGTGACGAAACAAAACAAAAGATGTATAGAAAGTTTAAAACACTAAATGGGAGATTATTATCATCAAACATATGGATTAAAAAAGTTAAATTTGAATGCACAGCTGAGATATGAAATACAAAATGCCAAAAATAAATAAGACAACAGGTATAATAGAAACTACGCATGCTAGAAAGGGGAGAGAAAAAAGATCAAATTTTGCTCACCTCAGTGGCAATGCCATATTTGGCACAGTTAAGGGCAAGCCGGGTAGCACGTCCAATACTATCCTTTGTTCTTGAGAGTGTCTCCAACATACCTTCCAAAGCATCACGAGCAATAGAAGCTTCAGTTCCACCACTTAAAGAACCCCTGAGTTGCCTGTATGCAGGACTAGTCTTGCTTTCATATTCCTCGTGATTTGTTTGATTTGATGGATTTGGCTGGGCAAGTACAGATGGAGAACCAAATGGCTTAGAAGGATGCAACACTTCCACATCATTTTGAACAGAACTTTTTAATGCGATAAGATAGATAGAAGAATCAGGACTTGGACTCTTTCCATTAACCAAAGGTGGAGTGGCAACTGAAGGAGTAACAGTGTCATGCGCTTGGTTCAGGGACAGCGCCTTTTTCCTCTTCTCTTGAGCAGCTTCAATAAGGTGTTTCAATGACTTATCAGAATCTAAAAACCTGGAACCAACAGATATATTTGCTGCTTGGTTTCTTTTTACAGAATCAAATCTGCAAATAGACAATTTTTTGACATGTCTTAGTCAAAACTTAAGAAACAAATGACATTAATAATCTCTTTATACTATATTGATTATATTAAACTTAATAAACAAATGACATTAATAACCTCTTTATACTATATTGATTATATTACACATGTTACAGAGGAAAAAAATGCATGCAAGCACAAACATTAAAGCAAATTTAAAAGAAATAGAAAAGATAAAAAGTGAACCACAGTATGTTATGTACCGTTCCGCTACCAGAGAGTCCTTCTCGATGTTTTGCTCAGCTGAAAAATTCATGTCAGACCTGTTTTCTGCAGCCATACTGATAGCTGCATTAGGTTTACGATTGGCATTCCCTTTTACTGCAGGAGAAAATGACTTATTTCTTATTGTAGCCTCCTGATTATGTGCACGATTTAAACTTGCAGAACCATGGGTTGATTCTCTGGAAGAGCTGTCTTGAAATTTCTTCATGCTCCCTGAAGACTTTGCTGGGGGGAACTTGATGGATTTAGGCTCCACCATCCAGGTTTTGGCTATGGCTTCCCTGTCCTCACTAGACAAGGACTTGGGAGATTCTGGCTTCACAGGACTACGAAATACTTGTCGCCCTAATTCTTTTTCGGGCTTTACCTCCCTTTTCTCCAAAGGATGTGATGTTGAACCACTACCTATTTTAAGAGGTGATGCCTGATCAATTGAAGATATTTCCTCTCTTTTACAATGTAAATTATCAGTTGAAGCATTGTTCATTATTGATGCAGATTCTCTGCAGCTTTCAGCAATTTGACCATTTGAATGTGCAGAGATCAAAATGCTAGCAGCCTGTTGATGAACTGGCGGAGTTCTATTAACCTCCTCATCGTCGTCGTCAAGTAGAAATGCTCTCCTTCTCGAGCGTAAATGGGTGGTGGGAGATATACCATCATTTGCAAAACCTGGACCTCTTCCAACTGTATGTCTAGCACTTTTAGGGGTGGAGATAGATCCTGATTCCGATATCCGATTACTTTGTTTAGGTGGAGGGCGCACAGCCTCTGTGTTCCCTATGTGTGTCCTAGCATTCCGTATTCCCAAATTAGATGTCATGTGCACCTTATCTTGCAAAGAGGATGTTGACTGTCTACTGTTCACAACTTTATCTCCTTTAGCTTTGCCTGCAAAATGCGACGAATCAATATTTCTTGAGCTCATAACAACAACATAATCTCCATGTTTTGACCGTTTAGCTGTTCGTGGATCTTCAATGTGAACTAACTTTTGTCTTTTGCTGCTGACCACGGACTCCTTCCCCTGAAGATGAGAAGGCGACCTTTCAGTGACCTGTTTCTTCAAGGTATCTGCTTTAACCCCTTTCTGAACCCCCTGCCGTTCATCCTTTTCAGAAGCATGTTTCCTATATTTTTTCAAGTTATGGGATCGCTTTCTTTTGTCAGGTACTTTATCTAGTCTTGGAGAGTTTCCAGCTGATCCTAAGCGACTATCCCCATCTCCAAATTTTGCATTCTCCTTTGCAGAAATTTTTCTCGTATTCTTCTGCAACATGGGACTTTTATGTACTATTGACTCAACCTGAGCACTTGCTATTGGTTCAACCGCCAAATCAGTGTCATTACCAGTGCTTATTGCCTTCTGCACATTAAGTTCATATTCTAAATAAGTTGATGCATTTTCTACAGTCTGCCGGCCAACATCATCTAGACCGGTAAGTGATCCAGAGTTACCGCGGTCCTGATTCTGCAAATTAGCAGAGTTGCTTGGAAAAGTACTCTTAGTTTCAGTTTCAGAAAATATTTTCACACCGTTTTTCTCATCGCCATCAGGATGAGGGCTACTAGAACTATCTTCCTTAGTTGAAGGAGCACCGGTTGTTTTACCTTCATTACACAATCTTATGCCATTATCCGTTATTTTTTTTCTTCTCTCAACTGAATGATCTTTCGGATGCTCACAGCCTGAACGTCTTGGCTGAATGACAGAGCCAGTTCCATTCTGATTCCCTGGACAGCTTTCCAGCCCATCTGGCTCATCACTGGAGCATTCACTTTTATTAGCATCCTTTTGGTCCAGTTTCTCCTCCTGATCTTCTAAATGAGTAGGTTTGTGAAATGTCTGCTGATTGCTATCTTCAAGGTCAGCAGTTGAAGAAGGAATAGGTCCACCTGCAGACGTGTCAATATCTTCTCCAGGACCAGCAGAATTTCTCTGTTGCATTTCATCAAATGCCTCACAAATCTCCTCCACAGCCTGAGCAAAATATTTTACAGTTTTACCCTTACATCGTACTGACAGTTTACTCTTTGATTCACTAGTGAATATTTGAATGTCAGTAGGTGCAACGAAAGCACTGCAAAAGGCAAAAAATACAAGCTAAGAGCAATTCAGCATATACAACAGTTGCAGGAGGCATATCCCTTACAATATCCATAATATAAAACAGCAAAATTTTATATCAAGAAGAACATGAACTAGTGCAGAGATCATAGAAGTTGGTAAATGGATTGAATGCCCTATAGATTGTAATGCAAGAAACTGTGTATATATCTCAGTAATCATATATAAGTTGTGATACACATTATATACATGCATGGACTAAATATTACGGCCATTTTAACAAAGATCCACAGGAAACATGCAGAACAACAACAACAGAATGGAACATGGAGAGTGTAGAACAAATTTTCTTGATAACAAATATACCAGTGTGGTCATCTCTTGCACCCTGAAATAATGAATGCCCAACAGACAAGGATGTTAAGATTTGGAGAGAAAAGAGTTTCTTGGGAGGGTTTTCCCTCACTCTATACTTTATTATTTATAGAGATGGGTTAGTTACAAATTAGCCTCACGGGCAATGTGGGACTAAACTAATGCTAAACTAATACTCATACTCTCTTCTAACACTCCCCCTCAAGTTGAAGCATATATATCATGCATGCCCAGCTTGTCACAAATAAAGTCAACCCGTGTTCGATCAAGTGGTTTTGTAAGAATGTTTGCCAAGTGATGTATTGTCGATACATGTTTTGACATCATAATTTTGTCCTCAAGCTTCTTGTGGATTACATGACAGTTGACTTCAATGTGCTTGGTTCTCTCATGAAACACGGAATTCTCAGCAATGTGAATTGTTGTTTTATTGTCGTCATATAGACTCATGGGACATTCTGGAGGGAGACCAATCTTTGTCAATAGGTCTCTGATCTAAATCATCTCCAGTATCACATTTGCTATAGCTTTGTATTCTGATTCTGCACTGGATCGAGACACAACACTTTGCTTCTTACTCTTCCATAACACCATATTTCCTCCAAGAAAGACACAATATCCAGTAGTCAATCTTCTATCAAAAGGACATCCAGCCCAATCTGCATCAAAGAAGCCTGCAATTCTGGTGTGTCCTTGATCTGAGTCAATGTTACATTAAACGTTAGGCGCTTCTAGGCGTTGGACTTGGCACCCAGTGCTTAGTCGCCTAGGCGGGCATTTAAACGGTTTCTGGGCGTTTTTTTTTTTTAATTGTGATACTTGAAGATAAATATATATATACTCAATCAAAGATGCATAAATACTAAAATACCAACACTATTAACTAAATTATTTGGTTTACCAATTACAATAGCTCTTTGTATGTTTATACTTCTTAACTCAAATTATAAGTTCATCTCAACAATAAAAACTCATTCTCAACTCAAATTATTGTTAACTTATAAGTTACTGTGAAATTTAAGTTAACAATAAACTTAAACTTAAGTTTACTGTTAACTAAAATATTGTTAACTTAAGTTTACTATTTACTTAAACTTAAGTTTACCATCAACAAAAAACTTAATATTAACTTAAACTTAAACTTAAGTTTACTGTTAGCTTAAACTTAAGTTTAAAAAAAACTTAATATTAACTTAAACTTAAACTTAAGTTTACTGTTAGCTTAAACTTAAGTTTAACTTAAATTTAAACTTGAACTTAAGTTTACTGTTAACTTACCCTTCTTAAGTTTAAGTTACTGTTGTTAACTAACTTAAATAAATATTTAAGAAGTACTCTTTACCTTGTTAGTAGTTACAAAGATCGGGGGAGCTCGGCAATGTTACAGAAGGTGCTAGGCAGACTAGGCGTTTAAGCAAGCGTCTAGCGTTTAGACCCCTGGGCGTACGCCTAGGCAACGCCTAAGCGTTTGACTATTTTTAAATTATTTAATTATAATAATTGATAAAAATATGTATTAAATTCATATAAATTTTTAAAAAAAAGATAGCAATCTTAGTTCCACAATAAATCATGCATACTTAGATACTAAATAGCCAAAATAATAATTAACAAGGCTAAAACCTAAGATGTTTTTTTTTATTTTTAATTACAATAATTGATAGTGAATGTCAACGTTATAGAAAGCTTAGATGCCAGACTGGTGTCTAAACGGATTTCTTTTTTCATTTAAGTGATGGTTGATGAGGTTTTACTGAAGGTCGGAGGAGGTAGTAGAGGTGTTCATATTTGGAGGTTAATAAAGTTTGGAGGACGTGTAGGCTACAACACATAAAATCACAATCAAGACCTACAGGGTGCAATCCACGTAAGTAGACAATGCTCCCCTAAACGCTCGTAAAATCTAGGTGGGCAGCCTAAATACCACCTAGACGCTAGGCGCTAGTTAGACGGTCTAGGTACCGCCTAGATCTAGGCGTACGTCAAGCGGACTAGGCGGAGGTTTTTTAAAACAGTGATCTGAGTAGAGAATTCCTCGTCTCAGAGCCTTTTTTAAGTACCTCAAAATTCTCATTACTACATCTAAGTGAGTAGTTCTTGGTGCGGACAAGAACTGACTCACAACACTGACTGCGAATGTGATGCCAGGTGATCACCATCAGATAATTCAGTTTTCCCACTAATCTCATATACTGCCCAACATCCTCAAGAAGCTCCTTCTGGTCTGATAGTAACTTTGAGTTCACATCCATTAGAGAATTATTGCTTTTGTATCTTAACATCCCGGCTTCTGGGAGCATGTCCAGGACATACTTTCTTTGTGATAGAAGAATACCCTTCATTGACTTTACAACTTCAATGCCTAAGAAGTATTTTAGAGAACCAAGATTTTTTATTTGGAAATGTATCTGTAAATACTTCTTCAGGCTGTCAATACCAGAAGCATCATCCCCTGTAATTACAATGTCATCCATATAGACAACTAACAGAATTTGTTTCTCGTTCTGAAATCATCAAAAGACAGAGTGCTCTTTTTGTGCACGACAAAGCCTAAATTCCTGAATAATCGATGCAAAACATCCAAACCAGGCTCTCGGAGACTGCTTCAGACCATAGAGTGATTTCTTCAGCCTACACCTTCGCATTCTCCCCCTGAGCAACAAAACCTGATGGTTGCTCCATGTAAACCTCATCTAGAATACCATTAAGGAATGCATTCTTGATGTCCAACTAATTAAATGGCCAGTGGTTTATTGCAGCTAACGAAACAAAAATCCGAACAGATGTTATTTTTGCCACCGGAGAGAAAGTATCTACGTAATCCAAGCCATATATCTGTGAATAGCCTTTAGCAACCAGTCGGGCTTTCAGGCGTGTCAAAATTCCATCAGGATTCAACTTGACAGTGTACACTCATTTGCAGCCGATGTGCCGCTTTCCTGGTGGAAGTGGGACCAAATCCCAAGTGTCATTCTGTTGTAAGGCCATCATTTCGTCCTACATCGCTTGATTCTAACCTGGAATAGACAGGGTTTCTGACACATTCTTAGGAACCAAATATGAGTCGAGTGAAGTAACAAAACATTGAATGGTAGAGGATAGGTGATCATAGGAGACAAAATTAGAAATAGGAAGTTAAATACAAGTTCGTGTCTCTTTTCAAAGTGCAATAGGAAGGTCTTCCGCAGAATGGGGTAAATTTACACTTACTGATTCAGGTTCTTCGGGCGGAGGACGTGGTGTTGAGGCCGATGTTGGTACAGGAGCAGGAGCAAAGCGACGATGATAAACTTGAATTGAATCGTTAAACCTAGCTGAGTCTTTGCCAGTAACGTAAATAGTATTGTCAGCAGATGAACCACTTGTAACCACCACCGTTAACTAATGACTTGCAAAATTAAATAGTCATACTTATCCGATGATAATGGAGATGAAGAACTAGAATGACCGAGTTTATCTTCAAAGAATGTTACATCAGCAGATAACACAAGACGATTAAGTGACAGATAGAAACACTTGTAACCCTTATGCTTTCGGAAGTGGCCAAGAAAAATGTCTTTAATAGACCTAGAGTCAATGTTTCTATAACCCTTATGCTTTCGGGAGTAGCTAAGAAAAATGTCTTTAATAGACCGAGAGTCCAAACTTTTATTTATTTGGACTGTGATTATGAACAAAGCATAGAAAGCTAAAAATCTTTGGAGGAAGCGAAAAGAGATCATCGTTGGGATATAAAACTTTGAAAAAAAATTTATCTTGCAGAACAGAAGAGGGCATTCGATTAATCAAGTAACATGTTGTTAAGATAGCTTCCCCCAAAAATTCTTTGGGAACGCGACGATGAAATAGCAAAGTCCGAGCAATATGAAAAAGATGTCTATTCTTTCGTTCAGCAACTCTATTTTGCTGAGTGTAAACACAAGAAGACTGATGAACGATTCCATGTTGTTCAAGAAAACTAGTGAAGTTACCATCTAAATATTTGCCATCTAAATATTCCTTTTTATTTTCAGATCGAATTTTTTTTATCGAAGTCTTGAATTGATTGACTATTTCAGAATAAAGAGTTTAAAAGTACAAAAGATTTAAGACCTAGACTTGAGAAGATAAATCTAAATAACACGAGAGTGATCATTCACAAAACTGACAAAGTATCGAAATCCCAATTTAGAAGTTATTGGGCATGGCCCCTAGACATCAGAATGAACAAGATTAAATAGCTTAGCAGCCCTCTTATTAACTCGATTAGGATAAGACACACGATGGTGTTTGCTAAGTTAACACGACTCACACTCTAATGAGGAAAAAGATTTGAACTGAGGATTTAGAAGCTTGAGAAGAGAGAGGGATGCCCTAACTGATAGTGGTATTGTAGAGCTGGTGAGTTTCCGCTACAAGCCAAATGTTTGGCGCTCAAGTCATAATGGTCGTTATGTTCATGTTTCGTCCCAATCGTTTTCCTCGTAACCAGGTCCTGAAAGACAATGTGTGGGGAAGAATGTCACGGTACAGTTTAGTAATTTAATAATCTTACTAACAGATAAAATGTTATAGGGAAAACTAGGAAGATAGAATACGGAGGAAATGGGAAGACTCGGGGTAGGACTAGTGTTGCTGACACCCTGAACAGGTGTACAT